AGCAAATACCAGAATATTGGTCGAATGGAGGGCACCATTTATTTTTTCAAGATAAATTTATAGTTGGTAGACATAGGTAATATTACACACTACATATAGTGCACAAAAAAATTTAATTTTAAAAATTAATTTAACATATCAATATAATTATTATTAATTTTCTTGTGTAAAATAAATAATTACTTAATTGCTTTCAAAACATATGAAATATAAAAATTATTTATAAAATACAGTCAATGTGGTGTTAGGCATGGCATTTCGCTGGCCACCGCTAGATAATTGGGAGAATATAATGCTATTTTTAAGAATGGAATTTATTCCTTCAATCATATTCCAGAATTTCTATCTTCGATTCTTCTCGCTTTTCTCGAAGGAATTCTGAAACGTATGTTGCTATTACGGTAACGTTTATTTGGTCGGTAAAAGGATTAACAAAAAAGTTATCAAAGGCTCGATGATATTAAATTGTTGAAAGAGCTTTTTAAATTGATCTTTAAACAATTGGAGGTTGATGACAAATGTTAATAAGTCAATTTCACCGTCACCTAACATTTTTTTCATGTTTGGAAAATGCACAAGAGACTTCATTTTCAAATGTGATATCCACAAAACTAGCTTAGCTCTGAACGAGTTTATAGCCTTTATCATTTTTGCTTTATGTTTGTCTTTTTCCTGCTGCGCCAAGTTTAAATTATTTAGTTTTTTCCATTATGTCCATTATGAAAGACAAATCTGCTAGCCAAAGAGGATCTCTCAGTTCCAAAAATGTTTGATTTTTGGCTGCAAGATTATTTTTTATTTCTCCAATTAGATGTAGAAATCTATCAAGTACTTTGCCATTACTGAACCAGAGTATCTCAATATGTATTTGCATAGCATAAAATTTGCATAGCATTTATTGGGAAAATGGAAAACTGAAATATTTTATCGTTGGGCACAAGCAGCGGGCGCACCTAGATCGATCGACAAGCGCCATGGTGCCCGCGGGCATAGGGTTGGGGACCCCTGCTCTAGCTTTTCTAGTTACACTGTCTCGCAACCTGAATAATGCAACAGAAACCTTCATTTTATCAGGGTTGCCACTGGAGACTAAAAATTGTAAAAAGTGGTGTCTCATAAAATCCAAAATTGTGTTAAATGAGATTACTTTTAGCTACTTTTTCTAGCTTATTTTTTAAAATTTGCCATTGAAAGACGATATAAAGATAGTTTTTTGCTTTCTTTAGGAATAATTTGAAACGTAAATCATTGGTAGTTACGATTGTAGTTAAATTAAAGAAAAAATAAATAATTAAATATGAATTGAGTTTCTACTACTTTTTAAATTTTTAAAGTCGTTTGAGGCATCCTTGATTTTACGGATAACAGTTGTATAGAAGAGTGTGGTTGACCTTTATGCTAAGCACCCTGTCGTCTGCATCTCGTTATCAGCTCGCGTGATTTATATCGGAAACACTATTTTTTATTTTATTTTTTTGGACATAATCGAGTGAAATAATGATGAGATTATATCTTTTTCTAATTTTTAATTTCCAATTTTTTTCTAATTTTCAAATTTTTTAAAATTTGTGAATTTTTAAAAAAAATAAACGTTTTTTAATAATTTTTTTCTTTTCCACTGGGAAATCTCCTTCTCTCTCTCCCCGTCCTTTCTCTCCCTCTCCCTCTCTGTCTCTCTCTCGAGTTTGATGATTATTAGAACTTCTTTATTTTATTCTATCTATTTATTTATTCATTTATCCAAAAATTTGAAGTAACAAAATTATGCGATATGAATAAAAATAAGAAAAAGTTTTGGATTGGGCCAAAAATTTCAACTTATTTAAAATAACAAAACAGACATTTATCAAAAATCTAATAACAAGAAAAGGTATAATACTAAACTAAACTTTGAAACAAGTTGATTGCACAATTGAATAATTTAATCTTACATTTCTAATTGTGATTAATTAACGGGCGTGTTTTGAAAATTACTGATGAATAGAATGATTATTTATGAAATGGGGGCTTTGCATTTACTTCACAGATGACGCCTTAATCCTGAAGGAAAATACTTGAGAACTATTTATCAGATCAAAAAAGCAAAAATTTGAATTTTACATTTTATCAAAAATTTTCCCTTGCTTTAGACTCCCATGAGGTGGGGTCGGTTTATCAGATAAGCTTAAAACTTTATCAAATATGCTAAAAAAGAACAGAAATTAAAATTGTTTAGCTTATTCCGTTGTTTTACCAATAATTGTATAAAAATGCTTGTTATTCAATCATCCGAATTAAAATGGGCCCTTCAAAATCAAATTTTAATAGGGATGGTCTTAAAAATTTTAAAAATAACGGAAAATATAATAAGGGTAATGGTACTACTTGCCCGGTGGCTCAGTGGTAGCGCTCCAATGCCACAGGTCCTGGGTTCGATCCTGGATCCGGGCAAGGTTGACTCAGCCTTTCATCCCTTCAGTGGGTCGAAGCATGCTTGGGAACTAAACACTGGGAGTTCCGCGTTCGGCTGACCACCTGACCGGAACATTTGTTCCTGCACCCCAGAGCCCAAGGTGAAGAAAACTGAGATGGGCACAGTAGGCCTTGGCCCTCTATGGGCTGCCGCGCCACTGAGTTTAGTTTAGTTTAATGGTACTACTTGATTTTCATGGCGACAGTGATAAACCGCCATTCATTTAAACTAGCCAAATTAACAGTAAAACAGTAACAATACACACTTTCACTTTCTGTTCCATTTAGACTTTGCATTCAAACCTCATGATAGAGTAAATTTATTTTCTTCCAATTTAAGCATTGGGGGAAAAATTTGCAGGATTTTTAATTTACCGAGGAGTGAGAAAGATGCCGTTTCGTTTTTTACAGGAATAAGAGGTACTATCGAGTATACCTAACCCTATCGAGTATACGTCGCTATCGAGTATACGTAAATGGACGCGGCATGAAACTCTATGTAAAGTTTGTGGAGGTGGAATGTGAAAAATTGTCAACGGGAAAAGGAACAAAAGGCAAAGAGAAATATTCTTTCTTTATAGATTCTTTCTCAAAGATTTATATTCTTTCACTATAAATTTGTACTTATCACAAAGATAGGTACGAAGCCATGTAGAATATAAATAAACTTATTACGCATTGAAGTTGCCTGGTGCCCAAAACAAAAATAAATAGCGGTTACAAAAAAATACATAAGCAAATAGCAAATCTAAGTTAAGTAAAAGAAGTAGAAAAGAAAGAATTATATTTTAACAAATTAGATGTGCGCCTTTGTATTGAATTAACTTCACGTTAATTAACAATTATGTGAAGAAACTTAGCTCGACTTTAACTCGCCATCTTGTTTATAAGCGACCAGCTGGAGCTAAGGTCATAGGTTATGTGTCTAAGTATCAATGATTGTCCCCTTCTTGTGTTGCAAGTACCTTATTGCTATGGCTTACAAGCATTTTCATGTCCAGGTAATAGTAGTGCGATTAAGCCTATCCCATTGATCATGAATTTGAGTTACGTTTGAATTAAGTCTTTGTGGTTAGAAGGGAGTGGGATTCCTTTATATTCACTTCAAGCACTTTGCGTAAGTAACTAAAGATATAGGAAAATAATAAAAGAAGCTTGCTCTAAGCTATGTTTGCTTCAAAATTTTAGTTGTTGTTGTTAGGTGGGTAAAAAATGTGTCAGCATGAGGAAACGCCTTGAATATTCCTTTTTCAGATTAGATTTGAAGTTGGGAACTGTTGTATGTTTTGATAGTTGTGATATGAGGCGTCGGAAGTTAAATGTGTAGTTATTGGTCTATATTTCTTGTCTTTACTGAAGTTTCAGGAGTTGAATATTTCGTTGAAATTAGCCGTACTGCATTTTGTGGCTTTGTCGAAAAAATCTGCATTAAGTATATATTTGTGATGCAATAGAGGTAGGATTTTTAGATCTTTATGGATATTTGTATTCCGGATGAACCATCTGGCACAGATGATTTTTCTTATATGATCTTGCTTTGAAATTGGTTAAGTTCTTTCATGAGATGCTGTGGCATTTTTGACCAGGCAGGTGAGGCATAGGAAAGTATTAGATGGACCATTGTTGTATAGAGTAATTTCTTTAATTTTAGAGACATGTTCTAATTGTAAATTAGAGTTTGTATGACTATTATTGCTGTGTTTGCTTTGTCTATAATGCTTTTGACGTGATCATTCCATGTAAGTTTGCTGTTTATGATTAGGCCAAGGTAATTTGCTTTTAACTATTGGTATTTTATCATTAAGCATTTTTGATTGGCATTGAGGAAATATTTTAAATCTTCTATTTTGTACAATTAGAATTTGTGATTAACTGCTATTTTCCACTTGATGCGCCAGACTTCTATTTTATATATTTGCTCCTATAATTTTTCAACGGCAAGGTTTGGATTTCTGGATTTTATGAGGATTCCGGTGTCATCTGCATAGAAAGCTGTAATTCTGTTGTAGTCGGTTTTATGTAATGCAAAATCATATGTATATATGTGTTCATTTTCATGCCTATAACTAGCTTTTTATATTTTTGATTTCTCTTTTCTTATTATAGCTCTGTATATGTAATATTGATTTATTTGTATTTAGTTATAGTAAAAATTATATTAAATTAAATTTATAAATCCGAAAATTAAAAAAAGTTATAAGATTCATTTCCACTTTAAATATAAAAATGAAACACTACGGACAATCCGTAACTGTTGACAGCTATGTCAACATGCATTCCAATCATGATTTTTACTTCTTTTAAAGAACTAAAGACAAGCAAATATATCCACTGATCTCCAGAGAAACAATGTCACTTTTGAAGTGCTATTTAAATTGAAATTTTCGCCAAAACAAACGATTACAAAGTATACAAAAGAAATCCAATTGCCGGTGATTGCCAACGGCAAAAAGCAAATACTTTTGAAATCCATGATCAAACATTTCGTGTTTTTTTAATTTTTCCCCCTTACCTAAAGATAGGTTAACCTTCACTTTCATCTGTTTCCTGTTGAGAAGAGAGAAAGTCATTTTGACGAAATTGTAAGGCGGGACAAAACGTTCCATTTAACCCGAGTTAACCTACTTTGGCATAGCTTCGAATCTGAGAAAGTTTCTTCCTCACTCGTTCTCTTTTTTCTTGTTTGCCAGCAATTCATTGCACTTTGCCATGGAACATTGGAGATTAGTTTTGATTGTGGTTACTACCGCCATTGCATTTGCCGCTGCTCAGATGAACATGTTTTGCGGTAAGTGGACAGATCTCTTCATGAGGTGTTTTGTTTTCGAAAGTAGATCTAGGATTTTGTTATGATATAAATATTTTTTTTATTTAATCTAAAAAGAAAATTAAGCGTGGTTTTTTATGCTCTTTCGTCAAGAAAAATAAAAAATAACCGCAGTTTAAGTGCCTTAGAGTTGTAGCAAAACTAGAATTTTAAACTATATATATATTCAAGGAATTATTCTGCCAAATAGCTGAAATAGTTAAGTTAAGCTTCTTTAAAAACCGCCAATTTGGCGATATTTTTCTCTACTAGATGAAAATCATTAAAATCAATTAATAATTCTGAATTTTTTAGGCTTTTTGTGAACGTGCTTTTTAAGAGTTGGAGTGCTTTTTCGAATATCAAAAAGAAGGGAAAAAATCAAAATATTAGATCACATCTATTCTCAGGACACCAGGCTTTCTTTCGCATTTCTATTTTGCTATATTTTCATAATTAGCATAGGCTTAAGATTAACAAAACTAAACCAAACAGTCAGTCATGAATAACTATTGCAAATTCACAACAGTTATAAAAAATAGCTTATTAATCGCTGAAAAGCACTATTTCATTATGACGACATACCTTCGAAAAACAACAAGAATGGAATGAATCCAGTCTCAGTCATATGAACAGGCTTTACTTACATAGTTTTTATGAGTGAATCTGTAAATCGAAGCCTCATTTCATAGTATCATTTACATTCTGTGAAACTCAATAGTATCATTTATGGTTTAAGGCTATTGATAAACCGTAGCTTATTTAATCACAATCTAATAAGCTGCAACTTCTTATAACCCTTTCCGTTGCTTTCTAGCCAGACTGGCAATACTAATTCAACAAATGTTACAAGCCGCTATAAATGTAAAACTACTTGCTATGATTCGTTTAGCAACCGCTATTCTTTAATAAACAAAGAACTAAAGTATGTCGCTTCAGAATGTTCTGGCCTGATTAAAATTTTCGATCAAAATTCGATGCTCCGGAAACAGTTAAGACTATTCTATGAAGTCTCTGTCATCATATAAAATAAGAATAATATGCTATTTTTAAAACTCTTGTCAGTTTGTAACAATTATCCAAGATAATAGGGTCAAGTTTTGTTCATCTTTAGCTAGCCTCTTCATTGCCAATTAAGAATATTGCACAAAATGCCACAATGTTGTGAAAATAAAAAAAATTTGTGGTGTAATTTTTTAATCTAAAAAGTGGCTCGCAAAAATATGCAAAAATTAAGAAATTAAATTACGTATCCTCTTCATAGTCTTGGAAATAAACACTCGCCACATGGCGAGTCAGGTGAATAAAGTGGCGACTTAAAATAAATCAGCAGTCGATCACTTTTTCTCATCGTTTTTTTTTTTTTAAATCGTTTAATGATGGAAAACAGAATTTTCATTAAACTGTCCATTGTCTCGGTTGAAAACTTTGATTCTTCCGAATCTATTAATTTGTGGTGGAAAGATTCAAATGGGAGGAGAATTCTTTAACAATTCACACATTTGAAAGTTGCAATCTATACTTTAAATGTATTTTGCCTTCCCAAATATTTTTAAAAAAGGTTTTTTACAGTCAGTATGTTTAACTAAATTTTGCCCCATATTTGTATCATTTTCATTGTTGAATTAACTTTTTATAACCGCGGTGTATTTCTAATATGAATTTTTTTAAAAAAATATAATTTAATAATTTAATCCAAGCAAAAAAAAAGATTTTCAAAAAGTGTATATCAAATCAAACGAACTTATCGATATCAGTCTCCGACTCATTAGGTTTGAGAAAGAAGTGGCTATTAAGTTATTAGACTCTACCGGCTACTGGCTACTAACTGAATATTTAAATTTTCAGGTCTTCCATCTACATAGTCTTAAGTTACTCGAACATAATTTGTTTGAATTTTGACAAAAGTTCTCAGCATTTGAAGGTTGATAGATTTCTTTTGAATTATCTGAACTCACTTTTTTCTTCATTTTAAATTGCCAAAGCGTGTAAAACAGAATTCGTCATGGAAGGTTTCGCTTCTGGTATAGCACCCTTTGAACCATTGTGCCAAACAAACAAACTTACAGCAAAATTGTATTAACAAATTCGGGTCCAAAAGGTTAGTCATTTGCACCCCGTTATCCACTCCGATAGGACATCAAAATATATCGCTCCGAAATTTAAAATCTTCATAAACTTAATATTTAGTAACCACAATATTTTAGGATTGTTTGCTATTGCATAAAAATATTTCAGGGTGTATTTTAAATGATCTAGTTAATACATTAATTTAAAATAGCAGTTAAGAGTACCCGGAAAGCAAAAAACATTAAATCAAAGTCAAAACCACGAAAACAGAATAAATTTTGCAGAGATGACTAGCACAGTCTATCTTCATAATTTTTTATTGCATTTAGTATTTTATAAATTATTCACACCTTATTCATTTAATATTTTATAAGTTATTCAATGCACCTAGATACCAATATTAAGTTTCATGATTATGGTTGAATATGTTTCCATGAGTTTTTTCAAAAATGATTTTATAAGTTATTCAATGCACCTAGATACCAATTTTAAGTTTCATGATTATGGTTGAAAATGTTTCCATGATTTTTTTCAAGAATGATTTAACCTTGTTACTCAAATTATTTCTTTCTTGAATTTTATCTTGTAGAAACATGGCAAAGTCTTATTACCTTTATATGTATTAACGCTTTCATTGCGAAGGACGATCTAACTCGTCTTCCAGGAATATTCGCTGTGCTCTAGAGACGAGATAACTCGTCCTCTGAACAACGATTTTCAATATTATAGTAGCGTTTCCAGCGACTTATTTACCAACATTTGTTATAGATTATTACTTTCATTTTATTATTTTAATACAAGCAAAAAGTGAGAATTGCAATCGATTGCAATTGATTATTATTTTTTAAAGTTAAATAAACAAGCTTTAAAGAAATTTGCTTTTTGTTTCAATTTTAGCGTGGAAGGTAACAGAAAGTCGTGCTTTTGCTGCAATGAAAGTGTTAATGAAATAAATATCTGTATTTTGATCTAAAATTTTAAAAAATGTATACTGTAGAATTGAAGTGGTAGCTAACACTAGAAATTTTCAGACCTGTCTGATTATAAATACGCAGTAACTTTCCGTCATAAAAGTATTTTTTGTAATAGATCGGCAACAGAGAACTGAAAACTAATATATATTAAGATATTATCCTTTTTCCTTTTTAAAGTAAATAAAATAGCTGATCAAGCAAAAAAGTTGAGAGTTTTAATTCTTAAAGATTTTTCTTTCTTGAAAAAATAAAAATAACCTGATTTGATTTTATAATGACTTATTTTTGATTGATTTTTGAGTGACAAAGAATAATCTGTGCTGGTATTAAAAACTTTAACTTTGCATTTATTTCCTTGCTAAACTACTTTATTTCTCTAGCCTCAAAAATGTATTAGTTACAGGGTTATATTAATTTCCCACGATTTCTTAAGTGATTAAGCTGTAGCCAAATTATTTAAAATTTAATATTATTAATGCGGGGTTGGCTTTGTTTTGGGGCATTTCATCTTTCAATAAATCGCCAACCAACTTCTCATGTTCTTAAGTGTCGTTAGAAACAATTCAGTCACTGCTTATTTAAAATTCTTGGCGTTACGATTGGGGATTTTTTCTCCCTCATTCCGACCGTCTTAACACGTTGAAGGACATGGGGGTCACCGGTGACCAGCACCGAGTTAACATAATATAACAAGACAAAACTTTTGGGTCCTGTTGCTTTCTTTAGATGAATCCTTTAAAACATATTTATATTTCATTTTTAAAGAATTGACCTTGAACTTTGAACTTCTCAATAGGGGAGAGAAAAAAATTTTAGGAACTCAAACTTGCACAATATTCATTTTTCATAACCTATTTCAATAGCAGGAAATATAAAACCAACCAAAAATACAACCATCAAATATCAGATTTTTGTCTTATTTTAAAAATAATGACTCTCTCTTAAAAGGCGTTTTCCATTGCTTCAAAATTGGGCATGGACAGAATTTTATGATAGACTCAATATTTTTATACGTTGGAATATTATCAAAACTTGAATTACGTATAATCTTAATGCTATTGATAATTATTTTTTTTTTAGATTTGACAAAACCGCAGCTTGAAAAATTCATGGATTGTGGAAAAGAAGGTTTCTCATCCGAAGTAAGTTATCTCTTCCACTTTATTATTATTATTATTATTATTACAGACTATAATATCATTAAAACGTGTGAGATTTTATTTTTTAATGAAGATAATAAATCTGTGAATGAACAAAACAAAAATATGAGACAAACCAATTCCTCGAAATTTTAAATTTTTATAAAATTTTCAGTTTCAAATGTTTTTGTTTTTCCAGTAAATACTATTATTATTATGCTAATTTATTGCTGGATATTATTGATGCAATTCTGTCTTACGTTTCCTTAAATTAAACTAAACGAATAACAGCAAAGCAATTAAATCCGTTTTGTCAACAAATAATTTATTCATAATTTTCTGTTAATGTGTTATTAATTTACCTTATCACTACTATTTATCGATATATTTTGCGTTACACTTCAAAAAGTAATTTCATAAATTAATAATTTCCTTACAAACAAACAAAAACAGGCTCATTTATTCAGGTTTTTTAAAATTTTGTTGTTTAACAATGTTTGCGTCTTCTCAACTAACAATTTATATTTACTTCGCGCTATCGTGCCACAGGTCCCTGGTTCGATCCTCGGGCCGAGCAAGGCTGACTCAACCTTTCATCCCTTCAGTGGGTCGATAAATGAGTACCAAGCACGCTTGGGAACTAAACACTGGGGGTTCCGCGTTCGGCTGACCACCTGACCGGAACATCTGCTCCTGCAACTCAGAGCCCAAGGTCAAAAAAACTGAGATGGGCGCAGTAGGTCTTGGCCCGCAAGGGCTGTCGCGCCGCTGAGTAGAGTAGAGTACTTTATCACTAGTATTTATCTACGCAATTTTCCTAACACTTCAAAAAATAGTTTCATAAATTAATAATTTCATAACAAATAAAACAAAAAACTGACTAATTTATTATTTACTTTCGACGGTTATAAAATAAAATATAAAAATCCATGTATAATAAACCGTGGTGGCTATGGGGATAGAGCACGCGCCTCCCAATGAGGTGACCCGGAATTGAATCCCACCATTGGCTGGTCGATACGAATTCCACAACCAGTTCGCACTGAGCACGGTGCTGACGTGAAATATCCTCAGTGGTATTACGTGTTACAAGTCCCTTTGCCACCAGGCTAGCCGTGGGAGGTTTTCGTGATTTTCCTCTCCCTGTAACGATGTTTTCCTCTTCATGCTGGTTAGTTCCATCATAAAAGTCCTCCTGAAGGCAAATCTCTTCCAAAACTTGATCCAGGAGTTCCCTTGTCTTCTGGATTGGGTTCAAAATGACAAGGATACGGAGTTGAGCATTAGTAGTCGTAAACTCAAAAATTGGCTTGGCTGTTCAACGACGATTATAAAATAAAAGAAAAAGAATCCCTATATAAAACCTGTTTAATCACACAGTTCACGTAGTTTCAAAACATAATATTAACTTTCCACTTTGTATCTTACGGTTGAGAAATTTTGAATCAATCATTAATAAATGATGATTAACTAACTTACTTTAATTTCATTATGAAATTCTGCCTTTGCTTTGACGAAAACCGTTATCCAATCACTACAGAAATTAATTAACTGTAAGTTAAAAAATAGTAGCCGTATATTCATTCCCTTAAGAAATTTCGCTGAATATTAAAAAAATTATGTTAACAGCATATATATTTAACAACATTCAAAAGTACAACATCATAAATAATATTCCATTATATGCAACGATTGTTTATTTTTTACTGAAATACTAATAATTATTCTGAATATTGCTCGATATCTATAGGTGCATACTAGTATGGTCGTTGAGAGAAAACTCTTTTAGCGGTGGCAACTTATTTATAACTTATAATTATATTTAACATTAAATTAAATATTAAAAGTAATATGTTATTATAACTTATAAATCTTATTTTTAAAAGTTAATTCTTAAATTGTTTTGCTTACCAAATAAATCAATAATCTAAAAATACTAGTAGGCTGCGCCCCCTGCTCGCTAACGCTCGCAAACCAAGCTCGCTTCGCTCGTTACTAACTTAGGTACATTGCAAATGCACAAAATTCTAAGAATTCAAAACAATCATTCAAATCCATATAAAAACTTTTTTTTTAAAAAAAATTACATCTTTTTTAGTAAATACTAAGTCATTAAAATAAATTTGAATTCAAATAAATGACATGTAGTTCGTTAAACCTATTAGAAATGTGCTATAGTATAAAATCTTAAAGCGTAACAGCACGACTGAGACTCATTTTTCAATGAATAAAATTT